GATGAATGCTTAAGGAAGTATGGCAATGCCAATGTGTGGAAGTATTTCACTGATCTTTTTGATTATCTGCCCCTCACTGCACTTATTGAGAGTCAGGTTTGAACATTAGCTATATTTACTCTTAATTTTGAGTAATAGCATGATTATTTTTAATGCTTTGCAATGCCTTGTAGGTATTCTGTTTGCATGGAGGACTTTCACCATCTCTTGATACCTTAGATAATATCCGAGCTCTGGAACGTATACAGGAGGTAAGATTTAACATTTCTTGACTTGTTGTTTATCTTTTGAGATGCTTCTTTTCTGTTTTTTATTTTTGGTGGAGCACGAGTGCGTGGGTGGTGATGCAAGTTCCATTATATAATGGTTGAGGTTACAGTCTGACTCAAGTTGTTAGCTTCGAACTCTTTGCCAATTGGGAAGCAAATTTAGTCCTGTTTTATCTACTCTGCATTGCCTCCATCTCTGCAAATTTAATCCTGTTTGATTAACTAATAGATGTTCGGTTGTTCTTAAAAGTTATTTTCCTAGAAAGTAAATTAGAACTTACTTTCATGTTAATATATATATATATTACTACTTTCTAGAGAAGTAAGTTATGGTAATAAATCTGACTTTAAAAATCATGTTTTGATAGATAACTTAAAAAGGCCAGTTTTAAGCACAACCAAATATGTTCTAAACCTTGTTGTCCACTTTATGCCTTTTTTGCTTAGCATATTGTGATTTGAATAATAGTTCTGGCATTAAAATATTGGCTTTCTGGATAGGATTGCTTAGGCTTTTAAGATCCTGCTCTATTACTCTCTTCCTTCAAAGTAACAGCTATTATAAGAGCCTGGAATCAATTAAACAACATTTGGACGTAACTTTTATTCCTAAAGTAGTTCTCTTTAATGAACTCGGTGATCATGGTATGCTAGGTTCCACATGAAGGACCAATGTGCGATCTCTTGTGGTCTGATCCTGATGATCGATGTGGGTGGGGCATATCGCCCCGTGGTGCTGGCTACACCTTTGGACAGGATATAGCTTCTCAATTCAACCATACCAATGGCCTCACTCTGATTTCAAGAGCCCACCAGCTTGTCATGGAGGGTTTCAACTGGTGTCAGGTCTGTATATTTATTTAGCCCTTGTTTGAGCCCCATTTTTCAACAATACATTTTTGTCCGAACTCATTTTCAACCTCATATTCTATTAATATAATAATTGTACATGTAAATCTAAAACTTTTCCATACTTTTCAAGCACACATTCTCCAAAAAAATCGCACTTTTAATATTTATTTTTACCAAATAATGGGGCTCAAACAAAAAATGATATCCCATCTTGTCCCACATTTCTTGGGCTAAATATTAATTTATACATTCATTATATTTTCTTCTCAATTTACAGGAAAAGAATGTAGTAACAGTTTTTAGTGCTCCAAACTATTGTTACCGCTGTGGAAACATGGCTGCAATCCTCGAAATTGGAGAGAACATGGAGCAGAATTTCCTTCAGTTTGACCCAGCTCCTCGGCAAATTGAGCCTGATGCAACGCGCAAGACACCAGATTACTTTTTGTGAACTCAATACCTTGGTCCACTGATTGTAGTCCCTGCTTGCAGTTATGTTACTGTAGATGTGTCTTAAGAGATGAATTTTGTTATTTGAGGATTATTTTCTACATTCTTTCTTTCCGAGTTTGCTCTTCTGCAGCTGCTGCTGACTTTGATTATGTGCTCAACATACTTTCCAGAGATGTGACGAAGGCACGAGTCTTTTGGCTTGTATATTTTTTCCCAAAAGGAGGAAGCAGCTATGACACAATATAAATGTATTCTGTAATTTACAATTTATGGTAGGAAAACAGATTTGAGCACCATATCTTATTTCCCATTTTTAACTCGACTTGTCGAAAGCATTGGTGAAAATAAATATTTTGGAAATGACATTGGGAT